TCTTGCTCAGGCGTCTGCCGTACTGCCCGTACAGACTAGGTACTCTTTTCTCTTGTTCATGCTAACGGAACTTGTTGCTATGGGGCCCAATCAACGCGGTACCCATGGAAAGCCCATTGCTACGGCTTTCCAGTTCTTTCTTGGGAAATAGGGCCTACTAGGTTGCCTACTTGTAATGTTCTTGCTACATGATAATGATATGTCTCTTGGCATCACATAAACCAAGATGCTCTCTCGATCTTCATTTTTCTTTGTTGCATGTTGGCCAGCCCAGAAGTCCGTAGGTACTATTGAGTCTTGAATTAGTTTTGTCTAAATATCAATTATGTCACACACGCCAGACTCGCCAGTGTCGAAACATGCCTGTATCGTTATTTAGATTCAATGTAATAACCTAATTTAGAACGTAAATCTTCGTACAGAATGTCATTGCAAAAATGCGATAATATTAATGTCGCTAAACACTACCTAATCAATTGCCATTTGCCAAGTTGAATAAACGCAAAGCTGCCATTAGCTGACACGATGACTGAGTTGGTTGTGACTAACTCATCAAACTGTAATACTTTTCAGGTTCAACTTCACTCGGGATTTCATTATTGTAAAGCGTTTGCTCATTATTGAGCGAATCAACATGAAAGCTTCTTTTCTCCTGCTTACGTAGGCTTTAATCTTGTTGAAAATTCGTAAATTTTTACAAATAGTCTTGATTTTCAAAGAAAAAAAATTACAAGGTAACCTGAAGGCAATTTTTATATGAGCTACTCGTCGTTCTTTAACGACCTGGGGATAGGTCATTAATTTTCCTTACTATTCCTTTGAATAATCACTGTAAAGAAATTGAACCGACTGGCGACCACAACTGCAAACCTGTCTCACTCTTTTGGGACCCGAGGCAAGGCAAGGCTACCTTATGAATGCTTCAGAGAACTGCGCACTGCATTCTTGCTTGCTTCATAGTTTTCACTGCAAACCTGCTTCCTATCACATGATGGCGGAGCTCCGCTTATGTGACTGTAATATTGTTATCAATCACTCATAACACAGTGAGGATACGGCCTCAGGACTGCATTCACATCACACAGAGGAGCGACCATCACAGCGATCATGTTTTCGTGCTTTGGGTTACGCGCGCGACAAAAAACTTTGGGTTTGAGTGTTTCCAACTGTGGGGAGCTTCAAGTGGCCGTCGCCACCAGAGATGGCGTGCCCCTCAACTTCCATAACCACCACAACAAATATGCTTTATTCCAGTACTACAACACACTGCAACGCAGCAGCTTCCACTCCAGTCGCAGGAACAGCCAGAGCAGTTGTTCAAGTGTTAATTCTAATTCCAAGCATCAGAAGAATGTGGACCTACGACCAAAAAGTGAGGGATTCTTTCACAATAATAATTGTTTTCCCGATGGTTTGAAAATCACCGATATCGACAGTTACACAACTGACATCGTCAAGAGTGGCGATGACTGTATTTCAGTCGGTAATGGTGCGAATTTGATAAAAAAATGTCACCGGAGCTCCAATAAGAGACGTTCTCACACTTTGCCTAAAAATATCGGAATCGAAGACTCAGATGATGGCAAACACGGTCGAGTTTACGCATTGCACAAGAAAAAAAGATCGGGGTTATTTGAGTTGTTTAGTAGCAACAAGGAGGGCTCGGTGGTTTGTTCTGAAGAGACAAATTCTAACAGTCCACTGGAAACTGCGGAAATGGTCAAAAGTAGCCCAGTGGAACTTCTTCAGTATTCAACAAAGGACAAATCACTCAAGTCGGACAAGTGTCAAGCAAACCATTCCGAGAAGGTACGAAAAAAGCAAGTTCAAAATCGGAGCTTCTCTCCCACGAATTTGGATTCATTTTTAGCTGACAATCGCGTAAAACTGGATGTTCCTTCAACAATTTCAGTTTCGAACTTAGCGCACACTAATTTGTCCAAAAATTCAACTGACTTTAATGTTTCTGCGCAATCTTCGCCAAGTTCAATTAATACTTTGGCGACCAAAAACCTTATGGCTCAGAAGTCTGAAGGAACACAACAACCAAACAGTAATGGGACTAGAATTGCGACAAAGAAGAGTGGATCAGATATCGTGCGCAGCGACGTGCCAGTGATTGCACCAATTATTGATGTAAAAGCACAAAAACAACATTCAGTGCCTACGAAAATACCGTCGCTGTCCAAGAATGAAAAACAGCTTGGAATTGTTTACGTTCATGATCGTGCGTCTCATCCTCCCGTGAAAGAAGATTCAAGAAATAATATTTTCCCTGTCATAAGTGAGCAGTTAGCGTGTGCACCATGTGACATTGTTGGTACGGAAGAAGCGAAGAACTTAGCAAACGTGGACAATAATTGTCTTCCTATGTCTAACCGCGGATTTCATGCACCTACCTCTAATGCTAATTTTAAAAACGAAAATTTGCTGTCCTGTCCACACTCAGACGTTTTACATGAGGGTACACTGCTGTTGTCAGACCAGGATAACATGATTTCGAAACCCCCGCATTCGGGAGTAATTGTGAGGGATTCGTCGATTTCCAGCTACTCATCTGCAAAATCCTACAATGGCAATTTATCAAGATGTGTTACCGATGTTACGAGAAACACGTGCGCCTCCCAAGTGACCGCCACTGAACTGCTTACCACCACGGGCTTCGATGACTCGTCAATACCAATGATTGACGCCGAGGACACTGTCAGCGACAGCTCTACAATGAATGATACGGGACTTACGCCTGTTAAACCGGTCTCTAAAGTGAGTAAGATTCCCTCTTACAAGTCATTATCAAACGAATCGTCTGGAAGAGAGAAAATAATAGAACAGAAGACAGGAAGAACTGAAAACGCAGAGTCTACCTCTAATAAACTTCAGGAACTGCAGCATAGAACGAGGAATCAGCAGTTGAATTTTTATAGTAAGTTCACGTTGATACGTCTCAATTGAAGTGTTCATTGCTTCAAGGCATTATGATGGGAAATTTATGGTCACACAATGCTAATAAATGATAATCATTCCTATTTGAATAAATCTATCCTAACATCATCTCTCAGTGTCTAACACTTGGCTCGTGAAAACTTTGTTTCTTGATCAATTTAACTATTATCACTCAAGCGATCCCCTTCCTCCGGATTGTAAATACTATACAGCATTGCATGCATACTATACTCTTATGCCTACGCTACACAAAAATTTAATGACTGCAGCATGCGCAGTAAACTCCAATGTATGCGATACCGAGGAGTAGCGTGCGCAAAATGGAGTACAGTTCACACACTATAGAATTTAATACGCGAAATTCCTTATTCTATGATCGCTTGTCTCCGAACTCACAGGCTAGCTCTTACTATTTAAATGTTGCCCCTCATGTTATTAATATGATTCATCCAATTCAAACATTTTCTGCCATTTTGTTCGCTGTGAGGCACACTTTCACCTTTCATCGGCGTTTTAAATTGCCATTCTTGGCTTACCGATTTCCATTCATTTTTTCAAGTCATTCCCTGACTGCAGTCGACTTGGCACTCGTGCATCTGCGTCGACGCTTTCCCTGTTTCACTCTAGACCTTTAAAGTTTGCTTTCTGCTGAACTGTGACCATCGTTATTGTGATGACAATACATACTTGGCGGTTCACTGCTCGCCTAACGCAGCCTCGACAGTAACTTACACGTACGAGTACAATGAGCCACTGTCACCGGTGCGCCGGCTACCGTGCAATTTCGAAACCGGTTTATTGCATCTCCTGCCGCATTTATCCGGTTGTCGCATTCACCAGTTTTGTTGACACTATTCTGTCGTAGCGAAAATGTGTAAAAATAGTTCCACCTCCATATGGTGCTAGATGTCGTCTTACGATATGACTAAAGCCGATTCCAAGTATTCTACTTCGTAGTCGAGCTTCAACATGAATTACTAATATTCAATATCAGTATTGAAGCAAAATGATTACCAACTAAACAGTACTTAAAATGCGAACACAAGTATGGGAAAGTCATTAAATATTGATGTGAGACAGCTAATTCTTTCGGGATTTACGGTCGCGAGTCTCTACAGATGGTAGCATCCTAGGATGCAAATACATCCTTCGGCTAGAGAATAACGGTTCATTTTAGTTAGATTCTCCCCTGGTATGAGCACATGTGAGAAGCTTGTGTCAACAGTATGGGCGCGCAGCTAATCCGTAGTCACCTTATACATAACTTAAGGCGATATCTATGAGCACGAGAACATTTTTGTCAGTTTTCTGCATAGTAGTTCTTGAACGTGAATATATTGCATTAGATGCTATTCAGGTTGTAAAAGAGGTTCTTTTACTTCATAGACAACCAAATACTTCTCGAACTTTTGATTTTATAGCTTCTATAGTTTTTTAGTATTTTTTTAACTTTTAATTCTAAAGCGAGCAGGTTAGTCAAGACGTTGCATGAGCTTGATATCTCCTGCAATTTTGGAACTCCGTTATTTTTTTTTTATAATATTGTCAGTCCCGTTATACCGATTTAAATGAATAATCTGGAAATGGTAATATAATATGCAAATTGAGAATTCCTCCATCGGTCATTCCAAATCCCGCGTTCCTGAATCGCACCATCGGAATTTCGTAATCCCTAATCCCGTTATTATGAACTGCGCTTTCATCCTGGACTATTCTACATACAATAATAAATTGTTAGGTTCATGTAATATCACAACACCGCTAGTATCATGGATGCCTGCTCTTGCAGCCCTTGTATTATTACATCTCTTTCAAACCCTGGCAGAGCACGTATTTGCTCTGCCAGGGTTTAAACACACACCGACACGCAATCCAACTTCGACAAAGTTGTAGGAGTTTTTTTAAAGCCTTGATATAGAATATTAAGATTAAGAATATCGTTTATTACGATTACGATTAAGAATATCGTTTATTACGATTAAAAATATCGTTTTTATATTAAAGTTTCTGGTGCGCTGGTATACTCGTAACTGCTATCCTTGCATTGATCATTTCAGACGCTGCGAAGACTTCTCGCGCTCCCAGGACAACACCTGTGGCGTCCGAAGTGCAGCGCCTGGAGGCAGCGCTGACTGCCCGGACCTGCGAGGCGGAGGCGGCGCGGCGTGAGGCTCAGCTGGCCAGGCAAGAGGCGTGCGCTGCGGACAAAGGCTTGCAGGCGCTCACTGTCATCGTTCACCATCTCACACATCAGGTATGCCTTAGCACACAAATGTTTTCTTTGCTGTGCAAACGTAGCCAGTTTTACATGTACACCATATACTATATGTGCTGATATGTCTGGGTAATTAATTTCAATGACTATTTGATGTAACTGAGTTGCAAAAGATTGTATTATAACGCATAAATGATAGCTTCTAGTGGGCATTAAAAAAAATTGACGTAAATACTTCTCTTTTTTTTATACTACGTTATCATGAAAAGCTTGTTCTACTTGAGAATTGTTGGAATTGCGAGTAACTTGTACCCGATCTTGTTTCTTTTGATAATATTCATGTAATAGTTGGCAACACTGTAACTATAGACGATGATTCTGAATATTAATACATTGCGCAATTTTTATAATGCCCAGTATTACCGTAAACTGGGGTAACTTAGACCACTTTTTTTTAAATGATGCCATTTTTTACTAGATAAGTTAAACTTAAATTGAAACATGTAAAATACAGGTCTATACTCTAGCTTCACTCACCATAAATTGCTGGCTCCTGCCTCTCATAGTTTTGATGTAATTAAAAAAATCGATGGTCTCTTTTACCCCAGCTCTGGGGGGTATCTTAGATTATGTGGTAAAATCAATTATATTTTTTGGTAAAATAACTCCAAATAACTCCATGATGTCTCAATAAAAACTGATCGGCTGCTGGTATTTTTCTTAAGATGGTTTTCAGTGTTATGTTTTTGGGTTTAAAAAGAATAATATGATTTATTCTTTTCACTTATTTTCTTCTTATTTTAAAGATCTGAAGGGATATTCTCTATTGTGTTTATGAGTATACTGCCTTTTTTATATTTAGTCTATCAATCTATTCACTGCATATCATTATACGCAATGCGTATCATTTTATTCAATGCGCATCACTCTGTTCACTGCGTATCACTAAATGCAATAGTACGTATCACTAAAGGTAAAGCGTATCATTCTTTTCACTGCGCATCATTATATGCAATGCGTATCACTATATTGAGCTCGCATGCAAGCTGGTCAGTTCAAATGTTATCACTTGACAGCGCCTCACATGTAAGGCGTGACGCAAGATCTTAGCTTCGTACGTCAGGCGTAGGCGTCGCTTTAGCGGCCGTGAGCCGCCGTCGCTGTCCTTCACTGACCGCCGCCTCTACGTAGCTTGGCGCGATGCTGTGTTGTTCTTTCCTGGTATTTCTGGACACTCCCACTCAAGTAAATAATGTCCACTAGCAACATTTTAGCAACTTCCACGCAAACTAATCGTTGTGAACCCGTCACGACAATTACGAAAAAAATTTCAAATAAATTTAATGAAAAATTGCACTTGAGCAAGCAACGTTCAGGATAGAGAATCCTCTATCGTGCCTACGCATGTTATGATCGAGGCACACTCGTGCTTGGTCCGCAATAATCGTGATAGCCTTCACCTGTACAGCTATTCTGTGTTGGTGGGTCCTTAAGACAGCAATGCCTGCAAGCTGCTTCAAGTTAACCTGCGGTATGACGAGCAACAGTGTTGTACTGCAATTCCCTGCATTGCATTGTTAAGCCGATGAGCATTGCTGCACTGCGCCGCCCGCTAAGCAGTCTTTGTCTCGTTGTTTTGTTAATGTTTTCAGTCTCCGTACTCTCTCTATATCCGTACGCTTCGATCTATTCTCTGCGTAGCGTTACATGAGGGTGGCGCACAAACAATTTATTGAAATTAAATGAAATGCTGTAAGTATATATTTTAAAAGCAAATAATAATTTTTTCGTTAAAGTTTGTATTATGTAAGAAACTAATGAGGTTCACGAAAGTATTAGGATCAGATCTACCCTTGGTCAGTGCGAATCTTGAAGATGCGCGAATTGTTTGCTTTAAAGTGTATTTATCACTGTAGGCTATGCTTTTGAACTTCACACTTACACAAATAGCATGGTTCTTCAAAACTACGAAAATTACTATAACACCTAAACCTAGAGTAAATGAAAAATTCTGCGACGCATCGGTGCCCAAGTCCAACAAACTCCTGCCCAATCGTTTAGACTTAGACCCTCATGAAGAAAAAATATAACTCAGTGCTCACTCTGTCTCTTATACACATCTAGATGTGTATAAGAGACAGGGAGATATGTGTGGCCGTAGCACCCTAGATTTAACGGCCAGGCAATGATCATGAGCGGGAGATATATGTGGCCGTAGCACCCTAGATTTAACGGCGTGCAATGATCAGCGGGAGATATGTGTGGCCAGAACGCCTAGATTTAACTGCCAGGCAACGATCATGAAATGGAGATATTTGTGGCCGTAACGCCTAGATTTAACGGCCTGCAATGCAATGATCATGAATAGGAGATATATGTGGCCGTAGCACCCTAAATTTAACGGCCTGCAATGATCATGAGCGGGAGATATGTGTGGCCCTAACGCCTAGATTTAACGGCCCTGTGACGATTTTGAGAGGAAGATATGTGTGGCCGTAACGCCTATAGATTCAACGGCCATGTAACGATTTTGAGAGGGGAATTTGTCTTCGTGCGTACACGGTACTAAGGACGGTTCATCCATGATCCACGAAGAATATTCATGCGTTGATGAAAATTTTCAACAAATGGTGCTGCCGGCCCGTAATGACCATATAATATTAGTTACGAATGCCCAATCGATCAAAGAGTGCGTTATGTACGTTCAGAGGCCTTTTAACAAGTCAGGCAAAAATGTAATTATTTTAAATATATATATTTTTAATTCCAACAGAGAATTAATTTATTGACATTGGTGGATGATTCCTCATAAAATCGTATAAACAATTATAGGTTTCCTGTTGTGAGCGCGACGGTTATGGTCAGTGTTTAATTTAGTTCTTAAAAATGCCATTTTTGAATAAATCATGCGGTTTGTGCGCGCGTGTCATACGCAACTTATTTATACTCGATTTCAATATACGAGTTTGATTTTAGTTCGATGCTGGCTTTCGACTACTCTGGTAGAAGGTAATATTTTGTACGTGTTTTAGTTAGGAATCATGTTCAGTGATCATCATTTGGGACAATCATTTTAATTAGCTTATTAATATTAATTCATAAGCAATCAGATCAGTCTTATCATTGTATGTTTGTTTTACTGAAATAGGTTTTAATAAGAAGTTATGGAAAACTCGCGTATTCAAACTCTTCGAAACAAATAGATTCAACATTCAGTATATAAATGCAGTTACTTCACGGCAGCTAGAACATACCTCACATACCTCAACCGTGCTCGAAAGTGAGTTGAGAAATTTAATAACTTTGTTGTAGATGAAAATACAGAAGTAAAACTCAGTCCGCTGAAAGAATCGAACTCCACAAATTTCTCGCCTTAATTAATTGGTTGTCCATGAAGTTTGAAAAATTGTGGTAGATGTCCCGAAAAAAAATCCATGTCACTCATCTTGGGTTGTATAAATGCAAACATGACATTACACAATCTACAATTACATCAACATATTTTCATTGAAAAATTGAATTTGCATGACTAACAAGCAGTTGAGCAACATGAGATTTTGCGAGGAACTTGTCTGGGAGTGACCACTGTCGAACATGGTCAGATCAGAACATGAACTTTGCCGGGAAGAGATTTATTCACGGGATTAATGTACTAGTAATAACTGGACAATAAGAACAAAGTGTAGGCGCTGTTCGTTTTCACTAGCATTTTTAGCGCATTTTATCATTTATGAAAAAAGGAGCTATTAATTGTGCTCGTCATGTCCGTCCGTCCCTGACTTCACGTGACAGAGAAAATGCGCTCTCTATCACTCACTGCAGTGAGTACTGAGTAATATTTTTTATTATCCTGTTGACTGAAATTTTCCTAACAAACAAATAGTCTTGTAAACGTGGTATATTCTTCTATAGGTATGAATTATTTGCGTAGGGGCCTAAATATCCCGAATTGCTGTTTGTGTCACGAGACATCGATATGCGGTGAGTTAATTTATCGTTTGATCTTTAACTAATGATTATTTTGATTTATAGGTATTTATTTTATATCGTACCTTCTTTTATACTTGTCTTATGTATTTTTTGACGTTGCTTTTCTAGGAGCCGCATGTCGTGGAAAAATCGTTACATATCCTACCATGCTGTATAGAGCGTCTATAAGAATACAAGTTACGAAAAGACTAGCGTGTAAGAAAGTATTGATACACATGTCGACAAAATTGATTACAGATGTGAGAAATAACTGGAATTTATATAGAAGAGTCTGAATGCGCAACAAAATATACGCAGTACACACTATAGATACTGAAGACCGGCTTCTCTATATATCAGAAGGCCAAGCATACATTTTATAAAGAAACTAGCCTTGTGTGCGAAAAATCGGTCCATGATATTGATCAATTTATTGCTTCTCTAATTTCGTCTCTCTCGTTATAAGTAGCCGTATGAATAATAAGATAGCTTTATTATGCATCGAAATAAAATAATTAGTAATGAAACGACCAAGCGTAAAAATTTCGTTGAATTTGTAACAAATTTAAAATTGCATGAGTAATGAGCCGACGTCTTTCGATGGTAGTGGATCATATTTAATTTGTTTTTATGATGTTAAACGAACATGAGGACGCCCGGCAGTGGCGCTTTCTTCATCTAGCGGAGATGATGTAGGAAGTAGCATTGGTAGAAAATATATATTCTAGGCTGTGTATAGGGTCAAACAGGTCAGGTCCTATATATAGCAATAAAATTATGCTAAAAACCTAAATAACATCACAATGAACTATGAGCCTTCAATAGGAACATTCTTATACAAATTCGTTGCCACGAATAGCCTGCATTTTTGTAAAATATTTGTATTTCAGTATGACCAGCCAATCATTTGGCACAATACCAATAAATCTGCACTCGTGCTCTTCTGCCTCAAAAAAAAATATATTCAGCTGTAATTAACGACAACTTTATGAGTTATAAATTTTATTCTCTGCATGTAAAAAGGCCATTTATTTCTATATGAACATGCGCTGTCGTCCGCTCATCTCTGATCCACGAATTTAGTCGCGCACGACCGTAATCTTCTTACGTTGGATCCTCTAATCGTACTTGTGGTTTTGCAAAATCTGGATTCGCGGGAGTTTTCGAAGACTTATCTTGCAGGCAGAGTGTAAATTCCATACCCTACGCGTGCACGGAAACCATAAACGGAATGTTGAAATGTTGCTGAATTTTTAATTAGTATTCATAATAATAATACACAGATAGTTATTGCAATGGACATATTTTTTTCTTATTTTGCGGCAAGAACATTATAAATTGTATCCCGCCCCGTTTTCACTTGAAGGTTTCAGAAGGATTTGAAACGTCGATGAGACTGTAGCGGTTCAGCTCTTGATCAAATAGCGAGCAAAGCAATCTAGTTGCGTTGTCTTGAATTACAATTTTGA